TTTTTTTTTTTTTTTTTAACCATTGATGACATTCCTACCCTCTCTTAATCTTTTAGGGTGATTTCTATTTTTTTATTCCATGGAATGCATATATTATTTGCCAGTGAATTTGCGTTGTCTCAGTGTTTTCTGCTAAAATTCAAGAGAATATTGATCAGCGTGGTAAGTACAAGTACTGAAAAGACACTGCCCAAGGTAAAGAGGAATTTTACCCTCAAATGCTTTAGCATATATTATTATTTCACTTAAAAAAGTAATATATCTGTTTTCTACATAGATAAATTATGTTATAGATGATATTAATGAAGAGGGAAACTATGTCAATTATCTATTTCTGTGTAAAACCAGGCCAAAACTTACTGGCTTTAAAAAACAAGTTTTTTCTTACAGTTCTGTAGGCCGACTGGGCAGTTCTTTGTGAGGTCTGAACTTACTTGGGCTCACTCGCATTGGATTCTCATAATGGCGGATCACCCAAAATGGCCTGATTCACACAACTTGACAGTGGGTGCTGGCTGTTTGCTCAGGAACTTTGCTTTTCCTCCACAGCCTTTTATTCTCTCTGAGGCTAGAGTTATAGCATTTCAAGGAGGGACCCTGAGATAATCAAATCTAATGCAAAAGCACTTATTAAACCTCTGTTTGCTTTACATTTGTTGATGTAGCATGGCCAAAGCAAGGCATGGCCAAGCCCAGAGTGAGCATGGCAATGTGCTTAGGTGGCATCTCTTGATGAGAAGAATAGCAAAGAATTTGTAGCCATTTTTTAATCTACAATGGACCTCTCCCCACCCCCACACACATACCCCTTCTAAAAACCTATCCCTTTTCTTTTATAGGTAAACCATAATCCCAAACTGGAAAAATATCTCCTGGCCTCCTTACCTTGGTGTGGCTAACATGAAAGCATTGTATGCAAACAAAAACAAATGTCATTAATAAACAAGAGTTATAAAACAGTCATTCACATCGACTTATCACAAAATACAGCCATTAAATTAGCAGACATAAGTAAAGATTTATTAATTCCTTTTTTAAATCATATTTGCAATTACTATAGACATCCCAAAGCAAAACTAGCCAATATTTTAATTCACATTCATTCACTGAGTTATCCTCCCAACTAACAATTGTGTTGAGACATAAGAGCAATGAACAAAAACAGGAAGAGGGAGGCAAGAACTGCACAGGGGTGCCTAGACATGAACCCTACACTAACAAACAATAGCACAAGAATGATGCCAAGGGAGTAGCGTCAGCTGGGGAAGGTGGATAGCCGTTGATGCAATAAAATGGTTATAATGAAAACCATACTGATACAAAAACACATCTACATGAGACCTTGTAATTTATAAAACATTTTCATATGTCTTTCATATTTATCCTCAAGGTAACTACATAAAGTATTCAAAAAGATGTTGATTCCCATTTTGCAGCTGAGTAAGATTCAGGGAGCTTCATTAACTTGTCCAAAACCTTAGCACAGATGGAAGCACCAGGATCTAAAGGTTTCTGATAACCAGCTCTTCTCTCATTTACATGAAAACTTCATGCAAACGTAAAATACAAAGCAGACTAGGAAATGAGTTTTGAAGTTTTACCAAACAAAATACAGGGTGTCCCAAAAAAATATACACACACTTTAATAGCTGATAACTCAATTTTCACTCCTTTTCAGGTTTAACTGATTTGAAATAATGGGTGGAGCCAGACTAAGCTTTGAACAAGGAAAATTTATCCTAAAGTTCCACTAGACTTTTTTTTAATGGGGATACATAAAAGATAAAGTTTATGGTACAAAACCAGCACAGTCGACAGATTGAGGGCACACAAACACCAAACGAAATGATTCTTGATATTTGCAAGTCCATTGCTTCGCGTTATCAGCAATGCCTGGACCAGAACAGTCATCAGTTTGAAAAAAGACATTGACAAAAAAAATATTCATTTTTGTAGATTCTTTTAAATTTTGAAAATGAACTGTATGTTCATAAACACTGACTTTATAATCATTCAAAGCGTGTCTACATTTTTTGTGTATTATAAACAAAGACACTGATGTCCTTGTTTGTTTGTTGTTTGTTTGTTTTAGTGGTAATTGATGGAAATCTTACCTGGGATAGAATTTAGTCTCCCCATATGTCTGAACCAATGAAGAGAAATTGGGAAGCGAAGCTGAAGCTAATTGAAGAAAGAGCGGCCCGCTATGAAAGAAAACCCCTGTCCTCAGTGTACAGACCCAGGCTGTCAAAGCTGGAGGAACCACCCTCTGTTTGGAAACTATTTCCTCGGCAAAGTCAAGCTTTCAATTTTGTTCAAAGCTGTAAAGAGGTAATTTTTTCATCTCCTTTTTTTTTTAGCTACTGTAACTTAAGATTTCTAAAAAAAATACCATTTTCTTTATTTTAGGCCACATATCTACCAAAAGAATTTAATTGCGATCTTATGATTACATGATTTAGGAAAAATATCCCCATGAATCATGAGCCATTTAGCTTATATTAATAATGAAAAAGAATGCCAATTAGTTTTATCTAAATATCTAATGCCAATTAGTTTTAATAAATTGTAATAACATTTAAATGAAAATGCTTGGAGGAAGAGTGACTATGTTTGTGGACTAAAAAGTAATGGAATGACTGAGATTTTAAGAGTAAAACTAAAACAATACAGAAATACAAGGAAATGAATGAGTAGAGCATGAGATTTTTAAGGACAAAATTAGGAAAAGGAGAATCGAATTTAAGCACTAGGAAATGCAAATGTCTCAAATAGTACAGCTCAGACTCAGCAAGCTCCAGAACTTACGTGAGTCAGCACCAGAGCTCCCGTGCACGCACCCTCCTCTCTCCTTTTGTGCTTTGGAGCTGTGCAGTGGATTTATCTTAGCAACTTCCAGCACATCGGGCAAGCAGGAGGAAGTGCTTCTTGCTACCTGCTAGCCTCGCAAGGGTTGTGCTGCTCAAAGTAGCCAGACTCGGATGTGTTTTGCACATCATTTGTTTTAGGAGCATTATGGGGACTCCAAAGTCCAGTTGACCCTTGAACAACAGGTTTGACTTGTGTGGGCTCACTTGCTCCTGTTGTGTTTTTTTTAAAATATATCTTTATTGATTTCAGAGAGAGGAAAGGAGAGGGAGAGAGACAGAAACATCAATGATGAGAGAGTCATTGATCAGCTGCAGCCCACAACCCCGGCATGTGCCTTGACCAGGAATCGAACCCTGATCGCCTGGATCCTAGGTCGATGCTTAACCGCTGAGCCACGCCCGGCCGGGCGCTCCTGTTTTTTTTCAACATATACTGTAAATGTGTTTTCTCATCCTCATAGTTTTCCCAATAACGTTTCCTTTTTGCCAGCTTACTTTATGGGTAAGAATACAGTATATAAGACAGGCAGACCTCAGATATTATGGGTGTGGTTCTAGGTCACCACAGTAAAGTGAGTATCTCAGTACAGCTAGTCGTAATCTTTTTTGCTTGTGTTAGGGTACTTCTGGTCAACAGCAGGCTATTGGTTGTTAAGTTTTGGGGGAGTCAAAAGTTATACACAGATTGACTATGTGGGGGTCAGCACCCCTAACTCCTGCGTTGTTCAGAGGTCAACTATAATGAAAAGATACATATATGAAATCTAGTATAAACATTGTGGTTCTGATCACTGATGCTATATAAAATCTCAGTGATAAACGTTTTTAGGGAAAGGTCCCTTCTTTGCCTAGTAGGGAGAAGCTCACTTAGCTCGTATCAGAATAGTGCAGGAAATACAAGCAACACTTGTTATGCTCATTCTGTGTAAACCAAATTCAGGTGTCAGAAATTAAAATAATGACATTCATTTGATCTCGAGTTAAAAAATATATAGAGGAGTATGACTACTGGACTTAAACAAGCAGCAGTCTATAAAATTTAGCTCAAGAAGATTTTTAATAGGGTGAGGCAGTGTAGTCCGCCTATGATCTCTCTCATGAAAATGGAAGTTTAGTTCCTTTATAGCAGGGGTGGGGAATCTTTTTTCTGCCAAGGGCCATTTTGATATTTATAACATCATTCGTGGGCCATACAAAATTATCAACTAAAATATTAGCTGTGAAAAAAGCTCCTGGATTTACTGAATTTTGAGTCCTGTCTGCGGTTGCCTTGGCAGGGCCAGACCAAGTGATTACACAGCCCCAGTGTTCCCCATCCCTGCTTTATAGGCTCAACAGCTACCTTTAGCTAAGTGGGGACAGAAGAACTTGAGTATTCCTTTATTACAAGAAACTCTGTATGGCAGCAGGCACAAACAGTTATATCAAGTGCCACAGCAATTAACTTCACAAAGATTGGTTTATCATAGAAATGACAATGTATAGTTGCTTGTTAAAGTTAAGCATTTTAAAACTTCCTCTAAGTTTTTAAGTTTAAATTACAAATATTCCCTTTAAAAAACTGGTTCCCACATGTTTTTATATGTACTAAAGAATTTATTAGTTTCATCCCAAATCATGTATGTTTAGGTAGTTTTAAAAAAATTAATTTCATAAATTAGCAAATAAAATTATAATAGGAAGTCAAACTAGACGGACTGAAAACTGATTTTTCTTTTTTCTCTTTTTAATTTGAATATTCTAATTATTTCTGCCTTGAATGTATATTACTTGAGTGACTAAAAATAGATAAATATAAATAACTAGATTTTGATTGGCATGGATCTAGTGATTATTTTTCTTGTTTTTAATAGTAATGTTCAAATTCCAGTGTTTGAAAATTTGAACAGTAAAATTCTTTACGAACATTTAATAGTTGATTTTAGATTTTCATTTTATTAGTTTTTGAATCCTTTTTTGATTTTATAAAGGATGTTCATGTATTTGCTTTGGAATGCAAAGTGGGCAGTGGACAACGTATTTACCTCGTAACAAGCTATATTCAACTCTGGTTTTATTATAAATCCCGGTAAGTAGTTTGTAAAGGACAACACATTAAAGTTACATTTCCTTCATCTAGTAATGTTTGCGAATTCAGGCTGAAGTGGCTTTGATAGTTCTAATAGTAATAGTCCCTTTACTATTAGAATTGAATTCTGAGGCTTCCTTGTCATAGCAACATTGAATTATCTCACCAGGTGCTGGGAGAAGAAAAGAGAGAGAGAGAGAGAGAGAGAGAGAGTGTGTGTGTGTGTGTGTGTGTGTTGAGGTTCTGTACTACCTGTGCACATGATGACACAATTCCCTCATCACTTTTCCTTGTTCAAATTAGTACAGAGGTTCACTTAGCACAGGTTATTGTTTACTTATCAAGTCAGCATCTGTTCTTATTAACCTGTGTTAAAGTCATACCTACCGATGCCAGCAAGAATGGAACTGCGAACATGAGCATTGAAACCTCATTCAAGTCAGGTGATTCCGAATATGTTTTTAACTAATTTTTAAAATATTATTTTCCTAATGAAAATATGTAAATTTTAAAATCTCATTAAAAATTTGTGGAATCCCAAGAATATGTAATTCTTAGGATCCCAGTTTGAGAAAGAAAGTTCTTATCTCAAACAAAATTTGCTTTATAGTGACACCAGAAACAAATATAGGAGTGTTACACAAGATCAAAGTCACCTGTGAATAAATAACAGTATGGAGTTGACCATATTTTCCAGTTAAATAATGTTACAGAATGTGATTGTTACATCTTGTTTGATGGAAACTCTTAATAATCTGATCCATAAACCTATGGTGAGTTTATGTTTTCATTATGTCATAGTTATATGTAATTAAAACAGTTAATATGGTATCTTGAGATATAAGATCGAGTTCTGTGATTTAAAAGGTATAAGATAAAAACCTAACAATCATGAACTGTTCAATTCAGGAAAAATCTCCTACACTGCTATGAGGTCATTCCTGAAAATGCGGTTTGCAAGCTCTATTTTGACCTGGAATTTAACAAACTTGCCAACCCAGGAGCTGATGGAAAAAAGATGGTGGCATTACTCATTGAGGTAAATTACACGCTCAGGTTTTTCCCTTGTATCCATCTGTCTCTCCTTTCTCTCACTCGTTAAGGGAATCCAGCCTATGTGATTTGTAGCTTCTGTGTTTCTCCTGTTTCTGGAGACTCTTCCTTTTGACATTTATCTCTTAATATTGCTTCTCTGAGTAAACTTCTAAAAAGGAGGAAGGTTTAGTTCGTATATTTTGTAATACTACTATATCCAGTGAAAAAGAAGGTTTGAGAACGGTGATAGTTGAGAAATTTTCTGTTTTTTATTTTATTTATTTTATTTTATATTTTATTTTAATTTTATTATTTTATTTTATTTTATTTTTTATCCTACCTGAGGATATTTTTTCCATTGCTTTTCAGAGAGAGGGAGAAAGAGAGAGAGAGAAGCATGGATGTGAGAGACACATCGATGGGCTGCCTCTTGCACTCACCCCGACTGGGGCCGGGGATCGAGCCCGCATCTGAGGTACATGCCCTTGGCCGGAATCAAACCTGGGACCCTTCAGTCCTCGGGCTGATGCTCTAACTGCTGAGCCACACCGGCTAGGGCCTGTTTTTTAATTAATTCTGATTTACATTATAAGTAGCTGACTTTGGTAACGATTCAGCAAAATAATTTTACTGTAAAAATTGGGTATTGAGGTGAATATTAAGAAAGATTTGATAAAAATAGTATCCAGATTTTTGAGCTGGCAGGAATTTTGGAAACCATCTTATCTTGTACCATGCGATACTGTGATTCATAAAAAATAGATATTTGATCATTAGATAACCTAACACTTCTCGTGTATATTGGTTTTCCTCCAGCCCTTGGTTCACAGATCCCCAAACCTTCGGAATTTCCTAGTGCTGAGAGCGATGGGGTGTTTTTTGTTATGTGAATGAGGTGGCTTTTGGAAGTGCCAGGGTGGGGAGTTGGTAAAGGATACCTGCTGATTTTGTTGCATCTTTACATGTCTTATTTTCAATTTAATTGAAAAATGTATGCAAATACTGTTTTTAAAAAAAATCATGTTAGTTTCCTCCTGACTTTGAAGAAGAAGAAATATACATAAGTCCCTCCCCCAAAAAACAATAACAGCAAAAAGTTATGTTTTTCTTAAAATGGCCATTGGATCCTTAAAAATAAATTTAAATGTGTTGTTTCATTAGAGTTTTAGTATAACTGCTGCTGAAGCAAGCACTTACTTTATATAGTTGGTAAATTGTGTTTAATTTTTCACTTTAATTATGTTTTTAGTAATTCATAGGTATTGACTTTTTTCTGGTGCACAATATAAACTTCTGTCCAAGGTCAGGCTCTGTGTGACCTACAAGGAATTAAGACCAAAGATTTTTCACTGGCACATTAACATGGTAATACTGTTAAAGAAGAAGGACCACATTGTATCAGAAAGTAGAACTATTCCTAATGGAATCAGCACCAGTGCAAATCCCACTTGTAACAGATTAAAACAATGATTGTGGTAAAGATCCTGTAGGTGTTTAAAAGTTCTTTCCTCCTGACTCTTTATATAATCTTCTCAGAATTAGTCTTGAACAACTCATCTTCTACAACAGCAAAAGTCAGAAAGAATTGTAGAAATAAGAGTTTAAAATTATACACCTTTTTTATTTAACATGTTTGCTATGTTGGTAGAAGTCATTAGGATTATTCCATTTAATATAACCTCCATAAATGATTATATTGTAGTTAACTTCATTGTTACTTTGTTTGTAACAAGTATATAATCCAGTAGGTACATTTCCTTCTTAGTCCCTGAAGAGGTATAAATTAGGTTAGGCCGGGCCAGGCGTGGATCAGTGGTTGAGCCTCGACCTAGGATCCAGGCGATCGGGGTTCGATTCCCAGTCAGGGCACATGCCCTGGTTGCAGGCTCGATCAATGACTCTCTCATCATTGATGTTTCTCTCTCTCTCTCCCTCTCCCTTCCTCTTTCTGAAATCAATAAAGATATATTTTAAAAAATAAATAAATAAATTAGGTTAGCTCTTATATTAACAGATGGTTAATAAATAACTGGCTAATTATTACTAGTGATAATATATAATGCCCTTTGATTTAATGACTTAACTGACAAATTCAGATTGCCACTTCTGCAACTGGAATGAATTCTGGTGCTAAAGCATGTTATAAAACTATGTTGAGAGGTTACATTGCTCAGATAATCAAATTTTTAACTTCTGGATTTTACAACTTAAATATAGGCTAGAGAAAATAACTTAAATTTTATTTAAAGTTTAACTTGGGAAGGAGAATTTAGGAGATCATGATTACTTTTATTAGCTACTTAGTACATTTGGAACAGCTCCAAAGTATAAAAGTAGACTTTATTCATTTATCAAAATCTTTTCAGCCTTGACTGTCCCTGTACCTAGACTAGATACACAGTGGTCAGCTCAGAGACCACTCTATGGTAGCAGGAGAAAACAGATAGTGAGATATATAGCCTTTGTAATACAGAGGAAATAGATGTCAAAATAATCACAAATTATTGTAGCTGTGTAAGTACTACAAGTTGAGATGGAGTTTATAGGGGGAATTTGATGTAGATGGGGAAGACATCTCTGAGAAAGTGAAAATTTACTGGAGTGTAGGATCAGAGAGCATGGAGGGGAGGTGCTATAATAATGCCAAAATAGCATTAANCATAAAATTGTAGCTGTGTAAGTACTACAAGTTGAGATGGAGTTTATAGGGGGAATTTGATGTAGATGGGGAAGACATCTCTGAGAAAGTGAAAATTTACTGGAGTGTAGGATCAGAGAGCATGGAGGGGAGGTGCTATAATAATGCCAAAATAGCATTAATACATTTTGTTTCATAACTATTAGCTAATAGATGCTTGGGAGTTTATAGACATTTTAACCCTGCATGTTTTAGTAACTTCATTTTTGGTAGCTCTGTTTTGCAAATGAGAAGATTGAGGCCTCAGGAGAAGCGACTTGTCCTATAGCTGCGCAGCTAATGCTTTTGAGCAGCTACACATGCCAGGCACTGCGCTCTTTACCCTCGTTTTCTCTTTCCCTTCTTACAACAAGCCCAGTAGTTAGGTCCTAGTATTATCCCATTCTGCAGTTGAGGAATGTAAAGTTTGCACTTGACCAAAGTCAGAGCTGCTAAGTGGCAAAGCCAGAACTTAAACTGAGGTCTTTCTGACTTCCAATCCTGTGCTCCTAACCCAAGCGTGTTGCCTTACTGTGATGCACAGCTGCCTTCAGTATCAGCATCCTCTAGCCCCAGAGGCTATATTCTTGGAGGTAGATTTGGGCTCAATATGCCTGAGGAACTTTTTGAAAACTAAAATTATAAACTATAGGATTAGTGACTTTTTAACTCATAGATGATATTTAAAGAGATGCTTAAAAAGAAATATTTTTAATTGTGAATTTAGAGGAGATTAATGTATAAATTAAATTGTTCAACTTCTAAGAAGACTTTAACGCTGAGAACCTATGAATTTTTTAATATAAACATGCCTAATTTAAATATATGTAATTCAATACATAAGTAATTTGGTAAAATTGTATAGTAAATATTCTGATAGTAAATCAAAATAAAAAACGAGTTTAAAAAAATGAGTTATATTTGTACCAAGATATTTGAATTTTGCTCATGGAAAACATTTAAAACAAATTTTAAAATATTATTTATGTTTTACCTGTGTTTTTAGCATGTTTGTAAAGCACTTAAAGAGTTATACAGCGTTAACTGTTCAGCCGAAGATGTTTTCAACTTAGATTCTAGCACTGATGAGAAATTTAGCCGCCATTTAATATTTCAACTCCATGATGTGGCATTTAAAGATAACATTCATGTTGGTAAGTATCCTGTTTTTTAAACAGTCATGGAGTAATAGTAAAAGCTCATAGTTTCACTGTCTTCTTCAGTTTTGTTAAGTACTTGTCAGGTTTTATGGGTGTTAACCTATTCTAAAAAAATGAAACGTGATTTTTCATGGTTTTAGGATTTGCCTTTAATTCTAGACCTATCTTCCTATTCTAGACACATTTTAGACACATTAGCCTACCCAGGATATTCTTGGTATTGTGCCTCTTGGTGTAGATACTGGGATGGCCATGCCCCAGTACAGATTTCTGCTCCAACAGGAGTCATTTCAAGAGTTTTCTGGTTAGTAACATGAGAGGCCTAATTCTGGTCTTACCTGCATGCGGCACCTCAGGTCTGGATCGCTCACCTTCACTTCAGCCTGAACTTTCAGTGCATGAGAACTGGGGCTTGGTTTCCAGGTTACATCCAGGCAGTCTTGGTTATTGTTCCAGACCAAACCTTAGGGTTCAGAAGGAATCTAGATGTTTAAGCCTGAAAATGTAACCAGAGTATTTGTTTCAGGATTGGAAATTTAGAGAGAGAGTTCCAGGTATAAAATGAAGTCAGTCCAAACGGGAACAAGTAGGCAGAATGGGAACACCCAAAACCAAGGTCTAAATAGAAGTGTTTATCATGCTGGGGTAGAGCAGGTATTCCTAAATTCAGATAGCAGATCCACTGAAGTTCAAGGAACAGGTAGTGCATTTCAGGACTGCAAATGTCTGACAATTTCAAAGGTAAAAGACATGAACATAATAACTAAAGCTCTGGCATAAGTGTCAGGAACCTTGTGCACTGTGTGCCTAGGGCTCCTGATTAGCTCTGTTTTCTGTTAGCCTAGTTCACTGATCCTCTGGTCTCTCTCATGCAGGTATCAGTAGTTATAGAATCCATCCTGTCCCTCTCTTTACCCAGTCTGTAACCTTGATGGTCATCCACTGTTGGCTCCAGGTACCATCTATGTGTTGGACTTTCAAAACTTTGTCTTCAGTCAAGATTATTGTTCTTGACACCAGAACCATAAGTCAACTTCAAACTCACATGTCCTAGACCAGGCTCCTCGCCCTTCCCCTAAAGCTTGCTGTTTCCCCTGCGGTATGTGTATCAGTGAGTGGTGTCACCATCCACTCAATTACCCAAGTGGAAGTGGTGTCATCTTTGACCTCTAGATACCTTTGTGTATTTAGTCAGCCAGCTAGAGCGATCTGATTACGCCACTCAAGTGCCTCAAGCCCTTCAAGGATAAAGCATTGCCTTCAGGAAAAAGTCCCCGTCCGAGTTTGCAGTGAGGCCCACTGTGCTCTAGCCTCATCTCTCCACTCAGCTCTCCCCATTCTCTCCTTTACTTGGCTCCCACTGGGGCCAGTCTTCTCCAGGCCCGGGGCCTCTGCAGTTTCTCAGGCTGCTGTCTGAATGTGCACGTCTTCAGTTCTCCTGGTCTGTTAAGACTCAGTGTAGGTACCATCATCTGAGAAGCCATTTCTGTCCAGCCCTTGGACTTAGGTGGGTGTTTGGGTGCAGGGACTGCCCAGCGCTTGTGTCAGAGCAGTCACCACTTCCTGAGGCAATTTCCTGGTGTTTTGTTTCTGTTTTTGTCTATCCTACTTAATGTTTCTTTAGGGTAGGACTGTTATTCACGCCTGTATTTTTAGAGCTTATTACATAATATCTTTATCAACAGCTTTAGTAATGTGAGAGTAGCAGGAGCAGCAGTAATAAATACAAGCAGGCATTTAATAAATATTTGTTGAATGGATGACTGAATATTAAGGGGGTTCTGCTGTCAAGCTTGTGGAGGCAGAGCCCTAAGCAAGATAGTTCTTTGTTTCCTTAGACTCCTTATAGCTGGCTCTGTGACTCCTGTCACAGGCTAAACACAGATTAAGAGCTAGGGGAGAGGGGACAAAAACGTGACACGATGGGCAGTCTCTATACTTGCCTTCTGAAAGCAGGTGCATTCAAGCCGGGCTCAGAACCACATTCACCCCGTTGAGCAGAGCTGTAGAGATGGGTGTTGGTGACCATGGGGAGCAGTGGGCGTCCGGTGTGGCTGGTGCGCGAGGCCTAACCAGAGTTGACCAGTGCATTGGCATCGCGGACTCTCTCCTCTGAAGCATGGGCTGTCAGAAGCAGAGATGCAGAGGTTGTGGGAGGGTCCGCACTTTCCCCTCTTGCGCACATCTCTTGGTGACATTTCTAGTTCCTATTGTTAGCCCTTCAGAAAGGGAAATTAGGGGAAGAGTAAGAGATCACAGAATGTTTGCAAAATGTGTACGTTGGGTCTGCCTAAAATACTCTTCTGCCTGCCTGCCTGCCTGCCTGCCATAGGACCTGAAATGTCTGTGATTGATACTTTCTCGAGTTGTTCCCAGCCATAAAGTGTCCCTGTGTAAATGAGGTGAGGGGGACAATATTGGGGAGGGAAGTAGGAAGCAGAGTAGTTTGCTGGGAGCCCGCATTAGTATTTAGTGTATTAGTTACACTGTCATATCCTGGCCTGTTAGCTCCCTGCCAAAGGTCCGCGGCCTCCCTGGCCTCCTTAGCGCTACTTTTGCACCTGGCTCTGCAACGGTGGCCCTTCTTCTCTTCCTGCCCATCAGAGAGATGTAACTTTGCATTTCCAAGAACATTAACTTGATCATTTTCTATTTGTATTGCTCTGTTGTCCTTGGACACATCGTGATTTCTTTTCACTCAGTATTTACGTAATCTCCCTCTTTCCAGAAATAATCATGCCTGTGTATCATTGCAAGGATCGAATGCTTCTGCTTTCATTTTGATGGTGTTTTTTAAGACACTGGATTTGTTTCTTTGAGTAGGGAAGTAATTAAATCTAATTTGGAGAAAGATTTTTAAATTTAGAACATGTATATCTTATGACTTAAGAGTTCAAACTACTGGTAAATAAAGTGACAAACCCAGACTATACCAGTTTAAAAGATTAAAATTAATTTTTTTTTATAGTATTGCATTGCTCTAGTATTATTTACATGAAGCAGCTTTACCAAATTACTTGATTTTATGGAATAAGTAGTATGACAGTTTGAAAACATTCCAGATTGTCATACTATCTGTTCCTGGTAAAGATAGGACCACTATTTAGAGCTTTAGACTAAACATTGAAATACACTACATGTGTATAATTACTTTAGTTCCAAGGCCACAATCCATCCATGACCAGGTACAGGGAGAGGCGGGAGGAGCATCAGTTGAACCGATGGCTGTGAGTTCAGTGTTCTCAGGGCTGCTGTGGCAGGAAAAGGAGGGAGCAAGGTCCCGTGCAACATGCTGACATCCTGACGCAGGGAGTGCGGCAGCGACTCTCTGTGTTCTGTGCATTATCTTGGCAGCACCATTTACTCACATAAACCATCTTTTTTATTGGAAAAGTTTTCTTTTTTTTTGAAAAGAAAAAAAATCCTTTCATTCTTTAATCATTGATTGTGAAGATACATTTTACTCAATTTGTATTAATAAAAGTTGTGTGTTTTGGTGATCGTACATTAGGCTCAGACCCATACGAGCAACAATGACACATCTCAAACCTTCCCCTGTGACCAGGCTGCCTGTCAGTGGGAAATTGAAAGAGTTCAAGATTGCGCAAGAGGGAGGAAGTAACAGGAGAGGAAAGGCACATTACAGTTTGCAATAACAACTCAATGTTAACACCAAAAGTAGAGAAAGAAGCCTTGCTGTCTAAAATTGCTATGTGTAGCCCAGCTGGGCGTGGCTCAGCAGTTGAGCGTCGACCTAGGATCCAGGCAATCAGGGTTCTTCTATTCCCTGTCAGGGCACATGCCCGGGATGCGGGCTGCAGTCGATCAATGACTTTCTCATCATTGATGTTTCTATCTCTCTCTCTCCTTCTCCCTTCCTCTCTCTGAAATCAATAAAGATATATTTAAAAAAATAAAAATAAAATAAAATTGCCATGTGTAGATTGGTGCCTAGATCTCAAGTTATAGTTTGTGAAAAAGAAGAATTAGGTTAATCATAACTTTTTTCCCCAGGGAATTTTGTGAGAAAAATTTTGCAGCCTGCTTTCCATTTAATTGCCAGTGAAGATGATGAAGATGATGGTGGTATTCCAGAGACGACAGGCCATGGATTTTCCCACTTTTCTGAACCACCAGTTAAACAAGAAATTTCCTTCAGCAAAATGTCCACAGATAAGGAGATAGCAGAGAGCTGGACATTGAATTCAGAGGGACTGGAGAGGCCAGTGTCAGCTAAGCTACACAGCCCTGACCTCTCATTTCTAGTTGTGAAGGATCCTGCAGGCAAAAGGCGTCTCTTTGTAGATCTAGGTGAGTAACATCAACAGCTCTCCGAGACTGTCCCTGTGTGCTGCTGAAAGACTAGTCAGTGCCCACTTGTCACCTGAGGGCTCTTGCTACCACCGCTGGTCCACAGCGACAGTGGGGTCACTAGCAGAATGTGGCGGATGAGCTTGGGTTTCTGTTCAGAGGTCTGAGAGGTCCCTGTGGGCGTAAACACCAGGCTGGCCTGAGCTTCAGAAGGAATGGTTGGGGCTGGGGCCTGGTCCAAATTGTCCAAAACATTCGGATCAGGAGAGTCTTGGCGGAGGACAGCATACCAGCTCTCTCAACACTGCTGTGCGGTTAACAAGGTGAAATCATTTAAAACACACAGAAAAATAGTGCTCTTAGCAAAACAAGGCTGTTGTTTCCTCCACTGACCGGCTTTGCAGCTTTCCAACCGTGATCCAGCTGGTGGCTTCTTCAGCCTTGCTCTCTGCTGCCCTCTGGCGTTTGGTCTCTGAAAAGTACTGGCAGCAACTTCCGCCTGGTCAGGAACACATAGGCACATCAGGACTCTTCATTCAACCAGCTTCAATTTGGTAAACTAAAGCTCATTTTATATTGCGTTTCTAGCTGATGAGTTGACAAGCTGTAAATGCAACATTTTTGCCATTGACTGTTAAAGCAACTCAAAGAGCATCAGTGTCTACAGTTGAGGGAAAGTATGTTTAAGGTATAGACGAGATTATCATGCCAGCCAGGCCAAGGCAGGGAAGCATTCCTGCTGTATTGTATGTCTTTCCAGCACCCTAACAACCAAGTACCATAATTTGGGAATATAGTCAGATAGGTGTAAGGTACTGATTTGGGTGAACAAACTTATATGAGTAAAACGTTCTCTCCATGTCGGATTAACATGCAAGAAACTAGGGAAAATGCCAGCAGGAAGTTGATTCAGGGAGAGCACAATGGCCAATCACTACTCTGTCTCTACCCCAGATTATATTAAAGACCCTAAACAGGATTCCCCTCTTCATGACAGTGTTGGCCTTGAAAGTTAGCTTACTGTGCTAGCAAGGAAATCTCTCTGATATGCTTAAAAGAAATGTTGCAGGTGTACCCAGATTTATGTAACAAAGGATCAGGAAATCACTCCCTAAAGTATCCTTTGAAAAGTTCAGAGGATTAATAGTACAGGCCAAGACTTTTTTAGAAAACATTTTTATTGAAGTATAACATTCAGACAGATATATGCATGACTTGAGTGTACAGGTCAATGAGTTACCACAAAATGAACACACCCTGTCACCACACCACCCAAGACAAGAAATGGGTGACTGGGACCCCAGAACCTCTTCCCTCCTGCTCCCCAGAGCTAATCACTAATCTACCCACTAACACCAAAGGTGCGTTTTGCCGATTTTTGACCTTTTTATAATTAGAATCATGTAGTGTGTTGGTGGCATGCATTTTCCCTCCCTTAATGGTGTCCTTGATGAATGAAGTTGTGCACCTTACATAGTAGTAGCAATAGTCTGACTTATCAATGTTTACTTTTTAGGTTAGTGTTTTTTGTATCTCATTAAATTTTTCCCTATCCCAAGGTCATAAAGATGTTCTGCTTATCTTCTAGAAGCTTTATTTATTTATCATTTGCCTTTTATATAAACCTGCGATCCACATGGAATGGATTTTTGCTTATTGGTTGAAGTCAAAATTCACTTTTTTCCCATGTGGGTCTCTATTTGCTTCAACGCTGTTTGTTGAAATAACTGTCCTTTTTCTAAAGAACATCTTTGTCATAAGATCAAGTGTCCATTCGTGTTTGGTCAGTTCCTGGACTGTGTTCTGTTCCATTGTTCTTTTTATCTATTTGGTGCCAGTACCATAACTGTCATAATATGGCTTTTCTCAAAGTCTTGATATCCTATAGAACAAGTCCTCAAACTTTGTTTTTTGAAATTCCTTGGTTGTTCCTGACAATGTGTGTTGCCGTGTAAATTTTAGAGTCAGCTTGTCAGGAATCTGGAAACTTGGGGAGAATTGACATTTGCATAATACTGAGTATTCCAGTCCATGAACATGGTTTGTCCCTCTTAGCTGTTCTCCAGTTTCTCTCAATAATGTTTTATAATTTTCTGAATAGAGATCCTGTAGATCTTTTGTTAGATTTATTCTAGATATTTGATTTTTTGTTTGTATAAATAATAAACATTGATTTCTCACTGTCTGGAGGCTAGAATGCAAGACCAGGGTGCCAGCATGGTCGGTTCTGGCGGGAGCCCTGCTTCTGGATTACAGATAACGGCCTTCTCATTGCTTCCTCACGTGGCTGAGAGAGATGCTTGATGTTTAGATCCCTCCCTCTTCTGAGACTTGGCACCACAAATCCATTCCGCCTTGAAAGCTCTCCAATAGCCTCAGACTTTTTTCTCAAACACATCTGTCCAGCTTTTCTATTTATTTACCATAGGAGGTTGCCCCAAAACAATTTAGTTTGCTATTTCTGGATGTGGCATTCTTCCATGCCAATTCCAATTTATTTTAATGTATATATTGCTTTTGTTTACATCTGATAGAAAATTTTTCTTTAAAAAAATATTTATTATATATTTTCATTTGAGGTGATTTTATTCACCGTCATTTTATTATTATTATTATTTTTAAATATATTTTTATTGATTTCAGAGAAAGTACAGGAGAGGGAGAGAGAGATAGAAACATCAATGACGAGAGAGTCACTGATCGAGCCCACAACCCGGGCATGTGCCCTGGATGGGAATCGAACCCTGATCTCCTGGATCCTAGGTCGACACTCAACCACTGAGCCACGCCCGGCCGGGCCATTTTATTATTTTTTTAAATTAAGGTCTAATTAACACAACATTAGTTTGAAGTGTATGGCATAATGATTCAATATTTGTATATATTGCAAAGTAATCACCAGAGTGAGTCTAGTGGACATTCATCACTACATAGTTACAGAAATGTTTCTTATGATGAGAACTTTTAAGATCTACTCTCTTAGCAGCTTTCAAATATGTGATAGTATTATTAACTATATTTGCCATGCGGTACTTACATCCCCAGGATTTTCTTGTTTTGTAGCTGGAAGTGTGTATCTTTTGACTCCCCTTAACCCATTTGGCCCACCTCCCACCTATGTCAACCATCACAGGTGGCTGTTCTCTGCATCTGTGAGCTTGGTTTTGGTTTGGGTTTTGTTTTTGTTTTTTTAGATTCCACATATAAGTGAGGTCATAGGGTATTTGTTTTTGTCTGACTTATTTTATTTAGCATAATTCCCCTCAAGGTCCATCTATGTTGTCACAAATGACAGTATTTCCTTATTTATTTGGCTAATATTCTATTGTACGTAGTCCCCCCTTACTGATGGGGATATGTTCCAAGACCCCAGTGGATGCCTGAAACTGCAAATAATACTGAACTCTGTATGTATTATGTTTTTGCCTATACATACATACCTATGATCAAGTTTAATTCATAAATTAGGTACAGTAAAAGATTAACAATAATTCTTAACAAAATAGAACAATTATAACAATATACTAAAGTTATGTGAATGTGGTCTTTCTCTTTCAAAATATCTTGTACTGCACTCACTTTTTCACTTAAATGAAGCTCTCGTTGGCATATCTAAATCATCATCATCATTGCTCTTTTGTTCTTTGGGGTCAGTATTAAATAAAATAAGGGTCATTTGAACACAAGCTCTGCAATTCTGGGAAATGATGTGATAACCAAGACCGCTACTAAATGACTAAGAGGCGGTCATGTGAAGGGATGAGTCATGTGACTCGAAGGACGAAGCAGGATGGAGTGGGATTTCATCATATACTCAGGATGGTGCACAGGTTAAATGTATGAATTATTTCAGTAACTTTGCATTTAATATTATCTGAACACAGCTGACAGCAGGTAGCTGGAACTGCAGGAAGCGGGTGAGGGGAGGCTGCCAGGTACATCGCCTTGTTTTGCCCACTCCCTCATTCATGGACACAGGTTGTCTCCGTATCCTGGCCGTTTGTACGTGTGGCACTGAAAATGGGGGTGCATATGTTTCTTGAATTAGTGTTTTCATTTCCTTCAGATGAATACCAGAAGCGGAACTGCTAGTCATAAGGTGGCTCTATTTTTAATCTTCTGAGGAGCCTCCATACTGTTCTCCATAGTGTGCACCAACTTGCACCCCATCAGCAGCGCGCAGGGTTCCCTCTCCTCCAGGTCCTCATCAGCACTTGTTCCTTAGTCTTTTGATAAAGGCCATTCTAGCAGGTGTGAGGTGATACTTGTATGCCCCTGATGATTAGGGATATTGAGCATTTTCATGAACCTGTTGGCCATCTCTGTGTCTATTTGGAAAAGTGTCTATTCAGAACCTCTGCCTATTTTTTAATTGGATTGTTTGGGGGTTTTTTGTTTGATTTTTTGCTATTGAGTTATGTTATTGAAGAGACCCCTTTCCCCATTGTACGTGCTTGGCTCCTCTGTTGTAAATTAAATGGCACATGTGTGGGTTTCGACCTGGGTTCTTCATTCTGTTCCATGTATGTGTGTGTGTTTTCGTTGCCAACACCATACTGTTGTGATTACTGTCAGGTTGTAAGAGTTCCTGAGGTCAGGGAGGTGATGCTTCCTGGTTTGTTCTCTTGAGATTGCTTTGGCTATTTGGGTTTTTTGTTGTTGTGGTGGTTTTTTGTGGTTCCATAAATTTTAGGATTGTTCTATTTCTTTGAAAACTGCCATTGGAATTTTTATAGGGATTGCATTGAATCTGTAGATCGTTTGGGGATAGTACTGACATTTTAACAATATTAATTCTTCCAAACCATGAGCTGGAAAAAATCTTTCCTCTTTTTTTTGGTCTTTAATTTCCTTCATCATCAGTCTTACAGTTTTCAGTGTAGAAGTTTTCTCCTCCTTGGTTAAATTTATTNGTGTCTTACAGTTTTCAGTGTAGAAGTTTTCTCCTCCTTGGTTAAATTTATTCCTAGATACTTTATTCTTTTTGATGTAGTTGTAAACAGGATTTTCTTAATTTCTCTTCTGGTAGTTTGTTATTAATGTGTTGAAATGTAACAGATTTCTGCATATTGACTTTGTATCCTGCGACTTTACTGAATTCATTTAGAGTTCTAATAGATTTTTGGTGGAATCCTTAGGGTTTTCTACATATAATATGTCATCTGCAGAGTTCTTCCTTTCCAATTTGGATGCCTTTTCTTTCTTTTTCTTGCCTGATTACTCTATGTTGGATAAGTAGCAAAAGTGGGCACCCTTGTCTAATTCCTGATCTTAGAGGAAGTTTTCAGCTTTTCCCCCAAGTATGATGTTGTGGGTTTGTCACACATGGCTTTTATTGAGATATAGTCTCTCTATACTCACTTTGTTGAGAGTTTAACCATAACTGGATGTTGAATTTTGTCAGTTGTTTTTTGGGGTTTTGTGGGGGGTTTTGCATTTATCGAGAGGGTCTTGATTTTTACCCTTCATTTTGTTTATCACATGGATTGGTTTTTGGATATTGAACCACCCTCGCATCCCTGGAATAAAGCTAACTTGATCACAGGGTATGATTCTTATAATGTATTGTTGAATTTGGTTTGCTAACATTATTTTGAAGATTTTTGCATCTATGTTACCAGATATATTAACCTGTAATTCTGTTTTCTTATGGAGTCCTCTGGTTTTGCTATCAGGATGATGCTGGCCTTGTAAAATGAGTCTGTGCAGGGCCCTAGGGGTGGTAGCCAGTCAACAACAACCTCCAGTTGTTACATCCTGCGAGATCCAGGAACACAAGGCAATCAAGGGGTACCTCTTGAGTGGCACACTGGGGCCCCAGACATGTAGAAGCTCCCCTCTGGGAGACAGTGGAGCTCTGGAGCACAGAGGTGGGGCCTTTGGCTGGAGTGAGAGGGGGAGTTCACAGGTGACACCTGCTGAAGAAAAAAGGAAGGAAAAAGAAGATATATGGTGCCCACTGGCTTTAACAAGGCCAGGGGTGAGAACATGGAAGATGGTGCCTGTTGGAAAGGGGGGGAAGGCCCCCGTGGGCTCTAACAAGGCAGAAGACAGCAGAAAGATGGTGCCCACCAGCCTCCATCCCCAAAGGGGTATCTCAGCAGGGCCGTGCTCCACAAACCATCACTAAAATTAGCACATGGGTCTCCTTTACGTAGTCTGGTGCTTTTCAAAGGACTGCTTGTGTGCTGGGGCCTGGGGAGGGTGTCTGCATGTGAGCCCTCCAAGAGCCATGCCTCAAGTGGCTACAGCCCCATGGGTTTCATGGGTGTGAGCCCGGGTGGTCTTCAGAGCCAGATGTTTTTGAGGTTTTGTCTCAGCCACTGGCCTTAGAAGTTGGGGTTCCCCAGGAGAAGCTCAGGGTTCCATTTCCTCCCCGATGTGGGTTGCCCTGCCAGGGGTGGGCCTTTCCTACCTGCTTTGATGTGGTTTTCTTTTATTTTCTCTTATGTGAAGGGGGCCTTCCGCCAGATTCTGGGGTTTTCCAGAGGAAATTTTTCTATATATAGCAGTAGGTTCGTTGTTTGCATGGGAAGAGGTGAGTTCAGGATGTTTGTATGTTGCCAAGTTGAATCAGAACTATTGTTTCTTCTAAAACTACTTTACAAATCAGTTAATATTTGCTGACTGTATAAACAAATAACTGAAAACATGCATTCATATGTTTTATTAATTTTTGATATAGGAGTTTATACAAGAAATAGAAACTTTCGGCTGTACAAATCATCAAAAAAAGGAAAGTTTGTGGCTTTGGAGGTCGCTGAAGATAACAGATTTTCTCTTACACAGTCAAAGAATATTTCTGAAGAAAGTCAGTATTTCCTCTCTTCTTTAGTCAGCAATGTCAGGTATGTAGTATCAGAATTAAACCATGTGTTTTCATGAATATTAAGCAGAGAATGGCAGTGTACAGCACTAAACTGTAAATTGTGTAAATTCATTCTATCTTAAAGAAAAGTCAGTTCTTAAAAGTTCTAGGTTACTGTTTCCTTTTGTCTACTAACTGGAAACATAATAGTAAAATTTATTTTCTAACCACTTAGTATTCTTTTTATGTCCTTTTTATAATTATATTTTATATGTTTTTCCAGTTTTTCTAAAATGATCAACATTTCTATAAAGAAGAAAATAAAAACTAGTTTTATGTATTTGGAAGTATAACTACTATGAACATTTCATTTTTTCATATCTGCACTTACATATATAATTTATGCAACTCCTTCATTCAAAAAATACTTCTTGAGATGATATAGTATATCACCTGTTTTATCTGCTCAACATATCGTGAATATTTGTCAGGTTCATAATTTGCTAGCAGTTGATTGTAAATAAAACTTTTAATACCTGCATAATGTTCCATTATATTGATATGCTCTAACTTGTTAGTTCTGTTGTTGAACATTTGGTTTTACGTGTTTTGGTCATTCTCAGAAAGTACGAAAGACATCTTACAACAGAAACACTGGCCTTTATTCCCTTGATTCTGGGCTAGCAGCTTTGTGTCCAAAACATAAGGGTCACACTAAGTTACCATGTTAACTTCTTCCTTTGCCTTCTGTAGATACAATCTTAAAGAGAGACTCCATAGAAGTGAATTTTAATAAAAATATTTAAGATACTTTGCTGTAGGGAAAATTGTGTCCGATGTTAACAGTTTTCGAGGAGGATGGGAAGATTGGTCGTTTTTCTTCATGTATTTCTGGACTGAGTTCTTTCATAACACATCTCAGAAGTAATGTCAAAGCCTTAGTTTGCTTACCTTTAAAATGGAAATATTTACATCTGTCTTAGGGCTTTCTTAGGATTAAATAAGTTAAAACTACATGTAAGATATTTGCAGTCTTGCCTGGCACATAGCGTCTGCTTGGTGAATGCTGGTAGTGGTGGTAGTTCCTGAGATGCTGCTAGTGGCATGGTGGTGGTGTAAAACCTTGCGGCAACTGCTGCCCGCTGCTGGCACCAGAACAAGATCACGTCTTGTCGTGTGTGGCAGAGCAGCTCAGTTGACCTGTAATACGGCCTGACGTACCGAGACGCTGGCCTAGAAAACAGTCTGAAGCACAGGTCATCCCCGAGTACCAGGCCCCATTCCTTTGCCGTGCCAGCAGTACTTCCATGGACATGTAGAGCTCTCCTGAGCAGGGCTCCTTCACTGTCCTGTGTGTCCCAGTAAACACCAGGGATTTTTCTTCCTGCAGTTGAAGGCAGCCTTCTTGACGGCCGTGACTGCATCTCTTAATGCAGTTCCCTTAACCCCTTTCCCTTTGCTCTCATCCCTTTCCTTCTCTTTTCTTCCCATTATTCTCACTTTTAAAGTCATTGTAAAAACATCTCAAAGGCTCTGTAGCTGGAGCAGAATCACACTCCATGCCTGGCTCCAGCAGTCCCCGAGTCCTGACTCTCTGCAGTTGAGGAAAGTGTTTTAAATGATCACCTTATAGGGGTAGGATTGGTGCTTTTATAGGCAAATGTGGCATAAATGTCCTAGAACAATCGCTGTTGAACAAATGACTTTCATACAGAATTATTTGAAATTGTTTCCCCTTCTGTAGCCATATCTCTTTAATTTTAATATGATCTTTGTTTCTTGAACGTATTTTCTTCAGATTCTCAGATACTTTACGAGTTCTTAGATGTGACACGTCTGAGAACAAACAGAAACAGGCTGGGCACTTGACTAGTACCAGCACTTCAGGTAATTTTACGAAAATAATTTTCTATGAAAATTTACAGGTACTAAATCTGCCTTTAAAATCTTAAGTATTCATACCTGCTGATCTTTAAAAATGACTAGGTTCCTATCCAAAATGAAAAAAATGTAAAAAAGGATGTTTTTAAAAGTTATTCACTAATTCATTTTATAGCATTTTTTGGGGGGGAGAGGGGACACACACAAAACCAAAATACTATAGATTGTTTGAATAAAATAAACACATATTAAGAAAACTAAGAGTTCTCTTCATCCCCTGTCCATAGCGATAGGTAAACCACTGTCAATAGTTTCCTGTTTAACCAGGAGTTTTTCCTGTATTTCCAGTAATATGGAGGCGTCCTGTTCTTTTAATGGCTGCCCGGTTTTCATGAAATATGTATGTTCTTCATTCCTGTACTGAAGAACATGTACATGTTTTCCTAAGATTTCATACATACCCTCCAGTGAGCATTTTTATGTACACATTTTGGGCGTGAAAAACTGAAAACATTTAAGTGCACAACAAAATGGGATTGGCAACATGATATAAAATTCTCTGTAGTCATTTAATTAAAATTTATAAAGCTTATATAATATGGAAAAATGGCCATTTATGATGTTAAGAGAAAAGGTGACTCAAATTATATGTTGAGGTATGATCACAAGTTTATTAAAAAATATGAATAACCTATTATTATGTTTCTTCTGATTAACAGTTATTTCTAGACATGGAGTTTGTTTCTCTTATTTTTGCTTTAATATATAGGGTGTCCCCCAAAAATGTATACACACACTTTGAATAATTATAAAGGCAGTGTTTATTAAAATACATTTCATTTTCAAAATTGAGCTATCAGCTGTTAAAGTGTGTATACATTTTTGGGGGACATCCTGTATTTTCCAGATTTTCTCCAATCATGTATATTACTTTTATAAGTGAAATATAAGCTTTATTTTTAGAAAAGTAGATTCTGTAAATTATTCCAGGAGATTCCTAGATACAAAATATAACTGACTTGTCAATGCCCTACAGCTGAAGACCACCCGAAAACAGGTCTGCGTTGAGCAACCAAGTTTATTACTGGTCTCAGTGATGGAGAACCAATGGGGCATCTCAGGGAAAGGTTAGGATTCAGGCCCCTTAGGGGCTCTTGAGGAGGGCCCAAAGTGTGGCTTTGTTTTGAATTGGGTGCCCTCAGGGACAGCTCCATGAGTATCTTGATAAATCTTACCTAGAAAGAAGGCAGACTAGAGGGAGACTAAAGCTATAGTTGGTAAAGCAGCAACAGTAACTCCTATTAGATAAGATAAGGGGGTCATCGATCATTTCTGTGGCTTGGAAAATGTTCTTTCCTTTTGCCTGTGTTCAGATGTGATTACAGTTTCTGTTTTTGTCTTGAATCATCATGGCCACAGAATGGCCTTATCTGATATAGAAATTCTGTGAAATAGTTTATGATTAGCAGAAAACAAGGCCTGAGCTGTGTGCCCGCCAGCGTGTAGCAACACCCAGGCCTACGTCACAGCACCTGGCCAGCTCCTGGGCGTAAGGGGTTGCAGCTCTTTATCAGAGTGAAGAATGTAACTGACGTGATTATAAATACTTTTGATAATAATTAGCTGACATCCGACTTAACTGAGAGGTTTGAATTTTACCTGCTTCCTTGTAAGAACCCATGACTAACTGAAAGGAAAGTTGTAAAAAAGGGGGAAGGAGGGAACACATAATTGTTCTAAACAACTTAAAATTAAACTCAACTTTTAGCCATGATCATTTCTAATTACTTTTTCTCTCTGTTGCAGTAGAAAGCATTGAAGGTTTCCAGGGTTCGCCCTACCCTGAAATAGATCAATTTGTTCTTTCTTTGGTGAATAAAAATGGCATTAAAGGAGGTAAAGATAATCTTACTCTTTATTAGCTGTTATGTGGTAGAGTAATAATGTCTTTAGAAGCACTGTTTGCATTTTAGGAATTCGGCGTTGGAACTACTTTTTTCCAGAAGAATTACTGGTTTATGACATTTGTAAATATCGCTGGTGTGGAAACATTGGAAGAGCCCACAAGAGTAACAACATCATGTAAGTCAGAGTGTTTGTTAATAAGTTCTGTGTATTTAACCAATATTACATTTTTAATATTTATAATTTTTGAAGTTGAGAATAGAAAAATGATTTTTATAATTTAGTTATAATTTCATTTATATTTGTATTTAGTTTGTTATAATAGTTAATTTGAATATTTTAATTATTACCTAGCACCTATCATCTTTATTTGTACTTTATTTGGTAAAATACTCCTGTAGACAGTACAATCTCGGGAAGACTAACGTAGAATTCAGGGGCCTGAAAGAAATGAGACAGTGATGGGAGTGTGTCTCTCCTACTGCCACTGCCCTTGAACCTTACGGAGTCTAAATCAGAATGGAGCATACTTGGGCAAGAAGGAAACGACGCAGCGTTAAGAGTGAGCGGTAAAGTTATGTTAACATGTTCAAGACAAAGAGTGGTGCTGAAAGCTCGCTGTATATGCCAGGCCCTGGCTTTGGGTTTTCCTTCACTTAGTTTTAATGCCCCGGCAAAAGGAGAGGAAGAGTAAAACAGAAATAGAATTTCAAGTGATCAAAGGGTATGGTTAGAGCAGGGACAGAGTAGAAGCCCAGTGGCTATGCTATGTAAGAGATTTTTGCTGTGTCTTTGTCAAAGCTGAGACTTCTGTGTATGGAGCACAGATAGCACGTCTGGCAAATGTGAGAACACGGTCACGCAGCTTCTGGAAAGCCAGAAAGCTGGGAGCCCAACTCCGTGCTGTGCTTGTATATGTAGCTTAATTCAGTGAAACAGCTTCAAAAACTGTACGCTTATTTCACGACACTGTAACAGAAAAACACAAAGGAAAACGTCACCCAGAGTCCCAGAACCAGTGATAACTATGGTTATGATCTTGGTGTGTCTTTCTAGTCTTTTTCTGAGCATATATTTACCAGGAAGTTATTGTCATATGATGACCATCTTTTAAATTGTCAGGCTGCTATATATTTCTTTCTGAAGAATTACCAGTATTATGTATCCATAATCTATTCTTTTTGTTAACTGTAAAATATTCATGAAAAAGCATGTATATCATGTACATGCACACTTTAAAGACTGACATTAAAACGACTGCTTGTCACATCGGCCAGCAATGGAAGGAAAAGAACTTGACTAAAGCCTCAGGAGCACCTTGTGGGCCCAACCCCAGCTTGTCCTTCTTCTCTGGACCTCCGGGACAGTAGCTGTCATCCTGAATTTTATGTTAATCTTTCCCTTGCTTCTTAAAATGGTTTTTTCCCTATGTATTTATATCCCCAAACAGTATATTCATTTTACATGATTTTTAATGTTATGCAAATTGCACCCTTCGACTTGCTCTTTGGTCAGCACTGCATTAGTGAGGTCATCCTCACGGCATGTAGCTGTTGCTTATTTTTTCATTATTGTATAGTATGTCGTTATATAAATATGCCAGTTTATTTGTCCTACTGTGGGCGTTGGCTTGCTGTTACGAATAATGAAGCTACAAGTATTATTGTACATTCTGCCTATTGCACATATGAGCTTCTCAAAATATGTGTCTAAAAATAGTTGCTGTCATAGAATATGTATTTAATTTTACCAGGTAATAATCATTTTCCCTAATGGTCATGCTAATTTACTCTCCCACCGGCAATATTTTCAGATTTTCTACTACTCCATACTCTCACCAACACTTTGGTGTGGTTAGGTTTAAAGCATTTGGTTGGCTGATCTGGTGGGTGTAAACTGATACTGTAGTTTCACCTGAATTTCCCTGGATACTAGTGAATTTGAGCATTGGATCATCAAACTGCACCCATGAATCTGAGATTCTTACCCATGGTTGAGCTTTACTGAAAGGTCCAAGGAATCAAAAGCACAGGAAAAGCAGACGGAGCCGGGGGACACCTGGCATGACTCCCAGCAGGGAGCACGAGGTTACGCAACATCTGCATGTTATAGTTACGAGCAGGTGTGACATCTCCAGGGAACCACGCCTCATAATTCACAGACTAGGTTTACTTACTGTTTGCAGAAACCAGAAACGTTTTGCAAAGAGCATTCTGTGGATAAGGACTCTGCCCAGCAGGTATCACTGGTCCAGAGGTTCCCAGACTTAGTTCACGGTACCCTTAGAGACTCAGTAATTTTTTCACATTGCTCTGAGGCCAAAAGAAATACCTAAGTTCTGTTTGTGAAATAGTTTCAAACAGCTTCAGGTTTTTGTCCTAACAATTTAGTGGCTCTTTGAGAGGAAATGTTTTTACTTCATTCGTATTTTTGAGGTGTAATTGACATATAACATCAGTTTCAGGTGTGCAATGATTCAGTATGCACACACGTAGCAGAATGACCACCACAGTAAGTCTGGTTAACATCTGTCACCGTTCATAGCTACAGAATTTTTTTTCTTATGATGAGATCTTTTAAGATTTACTCTTAGCAACTTTCAAATATGGATTACATTATTATTAACTATAATCTATGCTATACATTATGTCCCCATGACTAATTTATTTATAACTGGAAGTTTGTAGCTTTTGACCCTTCTTAAATGAAATCATTTGTTAGTGGGATAGGTGTCCTTTTGAGCACTGCATAACCTCTTACACACTGGAATCAGGTGGGACACTTCACCCCACCGTTACATCTCCTTCCACATTGGTGTTTATGATACTTTTTATCACAGCCACCACCAAAAACCCCAGCTCTATAAAGAGAGGACACCAGGGAAAGGAATGAAGGGTGATGTAATGTTGAAGCTGTGAACTGCAAGCAGTTTGCAGGTATCCAGTGTCAGTGTTTCCTTAGGAAAATGTAACCGGCCTACATGGCCATGGGCTCTTTGGTGGATGGTCTGGGCACTGCAGCACTAGTCATTTACTAGCAGGTCTGTTATTGGAATTTTTATGAGGCAGTTAACTGGGTTGCCTGCGTTTCTGTCTCCTGGGTACCTGACTACAGTGTTGAGTATTAGCCATTTGTTTCCTTTTCTGTGAAATGTGGGAAGATTTTATACTACTTATGTTTTACTTTTAGTGGTTATAGGATTATTTAGGTTTTCTGTAACTGTTAAAAGTTTGCTTAGTTTGGTATATTTTTATCTAGTACTTTGTCTACTTTACCAAAATTTTCAATTTTACTGGAAAAAGTTCATAATATTCTTATATTTTTAGTATATTCTGCATTTGTAGTTGCATCTACAATTAATTTCTAATAACATCTGTGTCTCCACCTTACTTATTTTTTGATCAATCCCACAAGAATTCTATCAGTTTTCACATTTTGGCCCCTTGTTGATTTTTTAAAAAATGTTATTACTTCCTGCCTTTTATTTTATTAGGGTTTATTCTACTGTTCATTTTCCAAGTTAGTTACTCAACTCATTTGTCTTTAGCCATTCATTTTTGTAAATAAGCTTTTAAGACTTGAAATCCCTCTAAGATCATTTTAGCTGTTTCACATATTTTAATATGTACTTTCAATTCCATTCAGTTCTAATCATTTTCTAATTTCCATCATTTTTTTTCTTGGGTCATTGGTTATTTATAAGTTTTTAATTTCTAATTATGGATTTCTAGTAGCTTTCTATTTATTTCTAAATAACTTGCTTTGTGATCAGAGAATGTGTTGTGTGAATGAATACTTTTAAATTTAATGAGATTCATAGAGTCCCTCACAGTCAGGTTTTACTTTTTGTGAAGAGCTGCTCTGATCTGAAGCAGTCTTCATACAGGATTACAATGGCAAACTTAAGTGCTTTTTAATTATGTCAGATTTCCTATATCCTCATTGATAAGTGATACAACAAATAACCAATCAAAAGTATTTTTTTAAGATCTCAACTTATGGTAGAAGCTTTATCCATCCTTGAAGTTGATGATTTTGCTCACTTACAGGGCTGGGAAAAGTAGGGTTACAGTTGTATGTATGCAAAACACCGAGTTTATTCTTATGCTATATTCCATATGAATGGTAAACCTACTCTTGCCCCATCCTGTATTTTGAATCTATCTTATTTGATGGTTACAGAGTGGGAATTATTATTTTTTGGCCCTAAATCCATTTTGTATGATATTTTTGGCAACTAGTTTTCTTTTGCTTGGTGTATATCTATTTCCATCCTTTTACTTTTTAAGTTTTTCTCCATCTTTAAGTCTTAGGCATATCTCTTGTAAACAGCATGTAGCTGAATTTTGTTTTCTATCCAGTCTGGCTATTAAGTAACATTTTTCTTTTTAACATAAAGGATTCTGGTTGATCTGAAAAATGAAGTTTGGTATCAAAAATGTCATGACCCTGTATGTAAAGCAGAAAACTTCAGATCTGACCGTGAGTTATTAATTTTCATATTGACCACAAAGTGAAAATTAAGACATCTGCATAAATAAAAGTTTCATTATCTTTCTGATTCAGGTTTCCCATTACCTGCTGAAATATGTCTCCCGTTTCTTCTCAAAGAGGTAAATGTGGTTTTTAGTTTCTCTCTCCTTACTAATTTGTCCTGGGTACAACCGTCTAAATGAGCTGTGAGTAGTGTCCAAATGTGTCCAGATACCTTTAAACACACGGCCGGTGCCTTTTCATTTGGAAATAAGTTGCAGTGACCGTCCTCTCTCTGCTTGCCTCTTTTGTGCTGCTCCATAAGAAACTAGGTATCTATTAACTAGTCCCACATGTTTACAAACTTTCTCATGTTTTACTTAACAGAGTATACCAAAATTACCAAAATACTTATTTTTGTGTTCCTTCAAACTATATCTGTAGGAAGAATTTCTAGAAGTAGAATTATGTCAAAGGGTATATGTACATTTTTTATTTTGGTAGATATTACCAGATTGCCAAACTACCAGTTTTCCTTTAAAAACTTTTACTTATAATTTGACCACTCAGATACAGCTGACATAAATGTTTTGGTAGTATCTTCCAGAATTTGTGTCTGTATGCTCATGTATATACTGTTTTGTAGGTTCTAATTCCTATTAAACGATCACAGATATTTTCAGTAATACCTGTTACCAAATTGCTCTCCACTTCACAATTTATGACAGCACCTGCTAACCTATATTTTTGCCAACTTTTAATCTTTATCAACCGAGTAGGCAAGAAAGTGGTATTTTAGTTGCTTTAATTTGCATTTCTTAATTTATTAATGAGGTTGAACTTTTTTCAGATTTAATAGATTGCCTGTAACTGTCCACTTTTCTATGTGGTCTTATTATTTTACAAGAAGTTTTTTGTTAAATACTCTTTGTCATGTTATTTTCTATACTTTTCAGTGGTTTTATGGTTAGAATAAAAGTTACCCAATATAAACTGAGTAAGTGCTTGGGTTTACATTCTAGATAATGGTCTGGTACCTATTCAATTTGATTTAAAAATATATAAAAAGTCTCCTGAAAAAACTCGTACATTTAAGGTAGAAACATAGAAATCTCATTCTTGGTCTCTAGACATAAAATAGCTGACAGCCAGAGTCTTTGATGAAGTGGTTTGAAATAACCAAGAACAAATTAATTTTTTATAAATTAATTTTTAAAAAATAAACTTTGCCTCTGGAGAAAGAAATGTCATCCTTGTTCATCTGGAGTATTACTGTGATGCATGTTTGTGGTTTCAATGGGTTTTTAAGTTGTTTTTTCTGCTTATCCGGTATACCTTGAAAATGCCAGACTGAAAGTACTTTCAGTATACAGTGCTGTATAGCTCACTTTGGTTTTTTATTAAAAAAAAACAAAACAGTATAATGAACACCCACTGTACCTATCACTTAGTTTTAATGTTAACATTTTGTCATTTCTGCTTCACCTGTTTTTAGTATTTTAAACTGACTACCAATCAGTGTTACTCGCCTGCTTTTCTGGTGCATTGGTCATCGTAGTTTATAAACGTTTTTAGCGTAGAGAAATGTTGCACAAGAACAAGGAACTTCCCTGCATGCCCTTCACCTAGATTTGCTGTCTGTTAACATTTGGCCATGTTTGTCACCTCCCTCTACTGTCCACACATTCATTACTTTGGCTGAATCTTATCTTCGCCATCTTGGGCTACTGTAACAATACCACGGACCAGGTGGCTTATAAACAACAAATTCATTCCTACAGTGTTGGAGGCTGGGAAATCTAAGATCAAGGTGCTGGCTGACTTGACGTCTGATGAGCGCCAGCTTCCTGGGTCATAAAGAGATGCAACTGTTATGTTTCTACGTCATAGGTGGCAGCAGGGAGCGTGCTCTGGGGTCTCTCTTATAAGAGCACTAAACTGATTCATGAGGGCTCCACCCTTATGATGTGATCAAATCCCAAAGGCCTCGCCTCCAAAGACCATCACATGGGGTGTTAGGATTTGACAGTGAGTCCGTAACAAATCTCTTGAACAGAGGCTGCAAACACCAAACCCTTCATCTCTTAATATAAGCACAGAGCTGCAGCTACTATGTTCAGAAATTTCATGTTGATACAACACTGTTAATGGTCTCAAAACTGTTTCTCTGTAACAATTTTTTTCAACCTATGTTCTTGATTTTTAAATACTTTGTAAATAGGGAAATAAGTCTTTTCAGATAGCGGATATATTTTTTAATTTGCCTTCAGCTGGACTATCCACTTTTTAAAAAAAAAATCAATGTACCCTTGCTCTAGTCCGTCTGTACTTACTGAGCAGGATGTGCTGTAGGAACTGCAGGCTTCTCCAGATTGGGAGTTTCCAGTGTGTGGGCTACAGTGGCAGTAATATTTGAATGAACGAATTCATTCCCAAGGTGATTGTATCAAAGACAATATCATGTAGCATCCTCACTTGAATATCTTTGTCCTGGTCTTAATACCTTAACTCATCAAAGATTGCTCTAGTGAAGCATCCCATTCTGACTGAATAACCAGTGTATTCTTCTGTCACCTCTTCTTTCCCCTCCCCCTTGGAACTAAAGGAAGGAGAGTTTACAACACATGAAGCGATGAACGATGAGACCCAGAATCCTCGTGTGCCACCATCTAGTACAGCGTCAAAAGTTGTATGTTCTGACCCTGACTGGGACAGTGGCCTTGACGACACTTATTTTTGGGAAGCTACTGAAGATGCTGAATTAGCAGAAGCTGCGGAGAACAGTCTTCTAGGTTATAATGGTGGAGTGGATGAGATTCCTGATGAACTAATTGTACAAGTTTTCCAAGACTAGCTAATTAACTATGGATACTTATAATCACACTAATTAACAAACATTAAATTATAGTAACTTATTGTTAAATCTGTTTATATCAACTAAGTTTTATCACTGTGCTTTCCAATTCTTGGTTTTTACTGAAGTAAACCAGTTTTACTGAAAATTAGCTTCAGTGCATTTAAATTCAGTAGAAATCTCTTATTAACCAAAGTTAGTCTGTGTTCATATCAACTTAATTTCGCATATTTATTTATAGGTTAAAAGCCTTTATGTCTGTGGCTGTTGGAATTAGTTGTCAACATTTAACTAATCACTCAAAACACTAACCAGGAAAATTAATTATGGCCTCTAGAACTACTATACAGTCAAACACCAGCCTGAACAGCTAGACAAGTTTACTTTACTTTCTCACATGTATCAGTGTTGCTTTAACAATAAGAAGTAGCTTCATGAGGCAACAGGCAGGCGCATGGGACTTATCTTTACATAGGCATGTTTCAGCAGCTGGTCTCATTTCTGGTCAAGGAGCTTCTCCAATTGATGGTTGATATTTTGCAGATGACTTTCAGCTCCTAAAAGGGTTCTTTCTTTGAATAACAGAGCTGGAAGGCTGGATGCATCATACTGTTGGAGGAAAATAACTTACTTAGATTAACAAATACTAAGAACTTTTATATCCCTATTTGTTCTAAAAAGCTCAATGTTATGACCAAATGCCAATTTTATTAGAGCTTCCCATTAACCCGTCCTCCTCTCCTTTGCTGAAGGAGGATCATTAATTTGGTCCTGACCCATTTCCTTAGGACGTGAGTGACGGATAAGGCCCCAAGGGCACTGCTCTGCGCGGTTGGAGGTCATGACCTCCTCCCAGTTGGCTCAAAGAACCGAGGCATGTGAATTACTGGAAACATCATTCCTGATACAGATCAAACCGGGTGTCAGCACATTCACTGGATTGCATCCTGCTTTAAGCAGGAAGTGTAACTAAGGCAGATTTACTTTTACTGCAAGAACTGATGGCATGAGCACACCAGGCCCTTAAAAATTCATGTGAAAAAAATCCATCATCCAGAGAAATTGTTTGTTGGGAAGATCAATTAAATCTTGAAAGTTGCCAATCCAGATTTCTTAAAGACAAAATTAGAATACAAAACCCAACTCTTGATTTTAAAATAATTAGCAAAGTCAAACTTCACGTTGTAAATTGTATCTAAGGGAAAGGAACCAAATTCCCCTTACAGAATTTTATAATTACGATAGTTTGGTGTTTATGTGGTTTTCTTTTTCTTTTTTTTAACTCAAAAAGACTTTTACTAAGATCCATTTATATGAGCACTTTGAGTTGTTTTTTTGTTTTTAATATATCTTTACTGTTGAAAGTATTACAGATGTCCCTTCTGTGATTTTCTTAGAAATGAAAACTGAGCAGAAAAGCTGTGAGACTGCACCACCCACATAATAAAGGAATTCAGTCAAACACTGAGACCCTAAGGCGTCCGAGCTACACGGGTCACCTGCTTTCAGGGAGGGGTGCGGGAGAACTAACCTTAGGCACTAGATTTTTAGTTTAGGAAAAGAGGTAAGTTACATACCCAAACATCTATACTCTATAAAGCAAAAAAAGGGTAAGTGCTACACTGGAAACAGAGTGTATTTCAAAGAAGGTAGAGTCACTGTGTCTCAGTTTCACCAATTTCTCCAAGTTTAGTACCTAAATCTCCAACTCCAGATGACAAGCTTTAGGTACTGTCACAGGAAAAAAATAATATAAAAACATTGTATTTCCAGATCTCTAATCTATAAACAAACCTTAGGCTCAGGAGAATTGACTTTTAGACACTGTCAAAACCTAAAATTGGCCCTGGCCGGGTGGCTCAATTGGCTGGAGCGTCGTCCAGTACGCCAAAGGGTTGTGGGTTCGATCCCTGGTGGGGGTGTGTAAGGGAGGTGACCGATGTCTCCCTCCCTCCCTCCCTCCAAGAGCCAATGAACATACCCTTGAGTGAGGATGAGCAACAGGAAACACCTTAGAACTGAACTCGGAAGCGGAGAACTCGAGTGTGACCGTAAGACATGTGCATATGGTACAAATACGTAAATTTCCTTCTGAAACTTAAAACATCCCTATTAACCTGAGCTGGTTCTCCTAACAGTGGCAAAGTCTGCAGCAACAATCCAGAAGCAACTATGAAATTTATTAAAACAATATACCACATTTTCTCCTACTATATTTCCTTTTTATGTTTCTCAACTTCTGATTTTACACCTACCGCTTTATGGGATGATGTGTCTTTCAGATAAAGATACAAGCGTGGGCTCAACAAAGAACCAAGGAGGCTGGTTTTAAAGACACGTCTGAGTGGTCTCGCACTGACGACGATTATAATAAAGCCTAGTCCTTCATCTGAAATTTGTACAAAAGGGTACACTTCCCTTAATTAGATTCAGTTCTCTGAAGGGTCAATACCTTCATAAACTAGGTGTTTCAGGGTTCTCCTCTACTCCTCTAGCCTTAATTAAGTGGCTAGAGAAGCGATGATGTCAATTTTCATGGATTTAGAGTACTGCTGTTTTGGGTAGACTGTTACTATGTTGCATCTACGTTTGTTTGTCTTTCCTCAAATCCTCAAAGCTTCTGGCACTGCATTCAAAGGCCTACAGCTTCGGAGGCACAGTGAAAAGTAAACACTGAACTTACCGTTTCCTTTACATTTGGTTCTCTCTCTCGAATATCTGAATAATCTTGATGAAGCTGTTTTAAATTAGATAAGAAATATGCTGCATTCCTAAGGGAAGATCTTCTCTCCTCCAGTTCATCGTATTTTGTTTGCAGTTGTTTCAGCTGTGGTTCTAAACTAAAACAAAAGAACAGTTTTTCTAAAAATAGATACAAATAATCAAGTGTAACAGCCTACACAGTGTAGAGACTGAGTATGCCCAGTGAGTTAGAAAAAACAAGGGAGGTGGTCTGGGTAGTTCAGATGTCTTTGGCTCTGAATGTGTGAAAGATTCTAGATTTTCTGTTTAAAACTCTGAAATACGATGCACAATGAGTAATTAGCAACGAAGCCCACAGAAGAATATGCCCTACATATCCTAAACTCAAGTCCTTTTTAGGGTCTGGGGAACTGACTTTAAACAACTTGGTTAACATTTTATAGCCTCAGGCAGGAAGAGGCAGGCAATAGGAAAAGCATGGGCAAAAAGCCTTCCTTTTGCCCCTACTTCTATTAAAATCTTGTCTGTTCCCAAGGTCCAATAAAACCAGTGGGGGGGAAAAACTGCCCCAGTTCCTGGATGAAAAATGTGCGGCCTTTGGAAAACTGCTCTCTCTCGGCGGCTTAGTTCCCAGGGCTTGGGAATGGATTCACATGAGTGCCACCCCAAGGTACATGTTTCACTGGTAACATTAACAACTGTTAACGCTAAGAGGCACTTCCTGTACGTTTATTCATCTAGTTCTCACAACACTGAGGTGTAGGTACTATGCTCATTTACAAATGAGGACACTGAGGCCTGGGAGGCTAAATAACCTGCCCAAGGTCACAGAGCCAGTAAGTGGCAGAGCCTGAATTCAAACCCCAGGCTGTCTCTGATCAGGCTGCTGCTCAGGCCAGAGCTGAGAGCGCTGATGGCAGAGATCAGTGCCGAATTCTCCTTTGCTAAAAGCCGCTCCAACTCTGCAGCGCAACGTACCTTCACTGAACTTCCAAGCCCAGAGGAAAGCTGGGATTTAATCCAGCACAGCAGCAGTTTTCCTAGCCCCACAGGACATGTCACAGTCCTTCCAGGTAAGTTCTCAGAGGATTTTGATATCATCTTACCAAAGCAGTTCATCCTGGACTTCAACCAAACGCTGCCTTTTCTTTTCAATATCTGAGATCATCTAAGTAAGGCAATAATTTCTTTGTTAATTTCATAACTTTTTGAGCACCACCATGTACACTGTGCCAGGTGTTGGAAATACAGTGGGAAACAAGACAGACTCCATTACATACGAACAGTATGTAATTACAACTTGTGATAACATGCTCTGAAGGAAACCAGGGGACTCTGAGAAAGAACAGCAGGGCTATTTGCTCCAGGGCTTTGAAGAAGTGGGGTCCAGTTTCACTGAGGCATACAGTAAAGAAGCTTCGATTTTATCTAGGTACACTAGGAAAATACTGGAATGGTTTCGCAGGGTCTTGATACATTTTTTAAAAGAACATTTCAGCATAATAAACTTTATTATCTGAGCCACCACTTTCACTATGTAATATTCCACTGCTGGCCATTCAGACTGTTCCCACTATAAGCAATGCAGAGTTGGCCAATAAGATGAAAGCTTAAGGATAAAAACAGCAAAGGCTTGTACCACGCCTCTGGAAAACGTGTATGTTTCCAATCCATTTCTATCTAAATGTAGAGGGGAAGCTACTCTTGGCTCCTGGACTCACAAGTTAGAGCTAGAAGCTCAACCATAAACAGATGGACCTGGTGCTACTGGCCTTTCCCCTGGCACACCTGCTGGTGAACAGTTTTCAAAAAGGTGGTACAACACTCAAGTAGCAGAGCAAGGGCAAGGAATGAGCTCTCCTGACCCGTGACCCAATATTTCCCCGAGGCTGTCCTTTCACCTGGGACATGGGACAGCCCTTTACTCTGAAAGGCTTTGCTTTTTATATCCGCAGAAGTGGTAAGTATGCATTACTTAAGGCTTATCCATTCTGGGCTTCTTAGCCATTTCTAGGCTAAAGGGTGCCCCTTCCTCAGTGTGCACGAACAGTACTCGGCCACAAATCTACCAGATAAAAGCCTGACTACAGAGAGAAAAATCTCTACATACTGAAGGCATCAAACCCAGAGGCAAGCCTCTACTTAACGCTACGTGCCCGCCTGCTTCTAACCACACGACTTACCTTAGCATTCTTTCTTCTCAGAGTTTTCAACATCTGGACTTGCGTAAGCTACACAAAACAGAAAATAAATACTCACATGGCATTTCCCAAAATTAAATGTTTATTAGCTTACACTATACCACATTTATTTTAAAACGTGAAATACTAATAATTCTAGTGAGGTCTTTGCCACACTGCCAGCAAATGCAGTCCTTCTAAGATAACTATGCAGCCTCAGGACTAGTGACAGATTTAGACCAGTACACCCATGTCCATGAACTTACCGTTTTGATGAGTTCTTCTTTCACACTAGCATGAAATTTGTTGATTGCTTTCTTGCAAATTTTAGATTCTATATTTTGTCTGTAACAGAATTTTTTTTAAAAGATCAAACTAGGTATCAAAATAAGGATTGTGAAAGGTGTTTCATTTGCTTAGCACATCAACACAATTTTACACACAGCATTCTGAGTATCTAAGATGGCATGGTCAGCTTGCAGCCCGCTCTCAGGCTTAAAAAATACTGGAAAGTCTCAATAAAAGAAAAAGAACAGGAAATACTTTCCCCTCAACCCTCGGGGACCAGGTCCACACGATACCTTGTGATGTGGAAAGGCACAGCCAATCCCAGTCTTCCTGCCCCTATCCAATGACCAGCAGACTTCAGCTCCTACAATGTCTGGACTGATCAACAAGTTAGTAGCCAAAAGCCAGCTGTCCAATTCTTCAAAAACTATACAGCTGAACCCAAAAAGGAAACGGATTCCGGTCCCTGTGATAAGAGAGAAGGGGGTGCAGTCTCCCAGGCTGGATTCTTCCTGGCAAGTGGCAGATGCAGTGACTGTGACTCAGCAGCAGACACTGTCAGGGCTGCAGCAGACTCCTGCTTGGGTCTCCTGTGAGGCCTCGGCACAGAGGACACTGTAAAGTGTCCTTTTAATTCTTTAGAAGCTAGGAGTGCACAAGAGAAGGCCTGCATTTCCTAATACAAATCTTTGGATAAGTGCTCATCGTGAAACGCATGTTGAAAATGTATTTCTAGTGACATCAGTGAGACAGTGGAAGAAGCCCCAGACCTCATTTCCCCACAGAAAACCAACTTAACAGCTATACAAGGCCCCAAAGCCTTTATGAGCATTCCCAAAACCACTAAGAAGTTGCAGTACACCAGACAAGTTCAAAGTCAAGGACAGCACATTGAAACACTTTCGATGGCAGATCAACCGTTCAGAGGCTCAATAAGGAACCAGAGGACGGGAACAACACTGGACCCAACTGGGCCTAATAAACCTAAACAAAACGTTCCACCCAAGAGCAGCAGAACCCACGGTCTTCTGGAGCACACAGAACATTTCCCATGATAAATCTCATGTTAGGAGACAAACCAAGTCAACCAGTTTAATAAGATTAAAATCATACCAAGTATCTTTTCAGGCCACAGTGGAATAAACTAGAAATCATTAACAAAAGGAAAACTGGAAAATTCAAAAATATGTGGAAATTAAACAACACAGTCTTGAACAATCAATGGGTCAAAGAAATAAAGGAAATTAGAAACTATCTTGACACAAATGAAAACAAAAAATGTACCAACACTTAGGGATGCGGCAAAAGCAGTACTGAAAAAAGAGGGAAGTTCACAGCAGGAACAACCTACATTAAAAAAGATCTCCAATCAAAAGCCCAATTTTATACCTCAAATAACTAGAGAAAGAAGAGCAACCCAAACCCAAAGTTAGCCGAAGGAAGGAACAATAAAGATGACGGCAGAAATACACAAAATAGAGAAAAGGAAAACAGTGAACCTAAGAGCTGGTTTTGTGAAAAGATCAACAACACTGACATATCCTCATAGACACTGAGAAAAAAAGGCGACTTGAAATCAGAACGAGCCTGGCTAGTGTGGCCTCATGGGCTCAGCACACCCCCTGCACCAACAGGCTACGGGTTCGGCTCTCGGTCAGGGTGCTGGCCTGGGGTGCAGGCTGACCACTGGCCGGGCGAGTACGAGAAGGTGGCCAATCGATGTTTCTTTCTTTCACTCCCCTGCCCCCACACCACTTGCCTCTCTCTCAAACTGATGAGCATGCACTCGGGAAGGACTGGGGAAAAAATCAGAAATGAGAAGGGAAGCATTGTAACTGATGCCACAGAAATAAAAGGATCATAAGAGACTACTATGAACAATTATATGGCCACAAACTGGATATCCTAGAAGAAACACCTAAGTTTCTAGAAACCTAGAACCTACCAAGAATGAATCATGAAGAAATTTTAAAAATCTGAAGAAACCTATAGCTAATGAGCTTGAACCAGTAATCAAAACCCTCCCATCAGCCCTCGCCGGTGGCTCATTTGGTGGCGCGTCATCCCATGCACTGAAAGGTCGCTGGTTCGATTCCTGGGCAGGGCACGTGCAGGAGACAACCAATCGATGTTTCTCTCTCACACTTGATTTAAAAAAATTTTATAAGAAAGTTTAAGATCAGACAAAGGTTGGAAGTAAAAGAAAGTAAAAGGAATATTAAATCTGGCAAATGCTACTAGCAAAAGAAATCTAGTGACACTGTATTAGTATTAGATAAAATAGATTTTAAGACAAAAATCTATTTCTAGGAATGGAGAGGGTTACTAAGAAGAATAAAGTGCTCGACCAAGACGGCAATTTTAAACATGATGTCATAATAGAAGTCTTTACACACAGCATAAATTGATGAAGTATCAGGAAAAATTACTGATTCTACATGGTTCTAATAATGAGAGATTCTAGTTAGAGTCCCATAGATTAGGTGCTAGGTCACAGAGAAAGCCTCAATATTTCAAAAAACAGGTATCACCAGTCCATGAAATTCGATGACACATTTGAGATAGAAGGTTAATACAAAAATATAAATTAAAAAGTCACATATTTGGACACAAACATACTACTAAGTAATTCACAGGATTAAAGAAAAAATTATAATAGAAATGTAAAAGTGTGGAAAACTGAAAAATGAAAATACTACACATCAAAAGCTGCGGGGTAAGCATGGTGGTGNCAGAAATGTAAAAGTGTGGAAAAATGAAAATACTACACATCAAAAGCTGCGGGGTAAGCATGGTGGTGTTTCAAGGGAAATTTATGAGGTACACATATTGCATCCAAACTTACCCATACTCAGGGAGGGTTTTCTCGAATGCTGACAAAACAACATCTAAGTCCATGATGTCACTGCTTGTCTTTCCTTTTAGACACCAAATATGTGTAAGGTTGGAAACACCTGGAACATCAAGATAAATCAATGTAATATACGGATTACCAATAATCTGGCTCTAGTCCAGGGTTCTACAAGCCTACAACAAAAATCATCCCATCAAATTGCTAAAAATAGCTACAGCTGAAGCAGCATGTGGGAGGAGACACACTCACTTCTCCTACCCAGTGCGGGGTCTCCAAGGCCCCCGTCTATCCCGTCCCTCTCACTGCTGTCTCGGGGCTCCCCGACCTCTGATGAAGCAGCCTGAAGCGCGCCGCCTGCAACGATGTCGCTGTGCCTCTATTTAAGAGCCTGGCACTGCTGGTACAGAGCTCTCCTCTGGTAACTATACTGTCTTAATTTCATCAACCCAACAGGCCACTTCCAGAACTCAAACAGATGACCCAGTGTATTGATCTGGACAGTTGTAGTAATATATAGTAGGAGATGAACAAAACTACAGTTCTTGAACAAAGTATCTCCTACAAAGGTCCTGCAAAGTACTTAGGGTACAGTAAGATGACAGGAATGGGGTCCCGTTTCGTGTGAGACATGCTCAGTGCAGGATTAAAGAGCACAGACAAAAACATGGTAGTCGTTTGGGTGATGGAATTATAGGTGATTTTATATTTTCCATACTTCCTAAATTTTCTAAAATAAATATTTTTATAACGAGAAAAATATGTAAATTTTCCTTTAAAAGAACCGAAGGAAAGAGAGAAAATGCTTTATTTTCCTCTGAAACATTTTTCAATAAACTTTTTGGGTCAATAAAATGATGCAAAATAACATGATGAGTCTGAGAAAAATTATGCAGAATGAAGGAAGCCTTGTAGAAAGATCACAGACAAAATGAGGTATGAAAAATATATTCTAGATGATGAAAAATTAAACTGGATTAATGGATAGGTGACAAAGCAAATATAATGAATTTTAACAGTAAAATCTAGGTGGTGAGTCTAACTATATATTGTAAAATTCTTTCACCTTAGTTGTATGTTGAAAATTTTCATGATAGATGCTGGGGGGAAACAAGTTACTCCAAAGTCACATATTTTTAACTTGAGAATTTTTAAATGGAATTATTGAGAGACTGTCAAAGCATAAACCTCTCTCTGTACCTGGGTCCATGGCTTCATTTCTTGATTTCTTTTTTTTGCCACGAAACATCTTCTTTTCCTGAGTTTTCTACAGAAAAACACATACACACATCCCGAAGAATTTTAC